TGAATATTTAAAGAAGGAGAATTTGATTTAATAACATGTTTTATTTCATTTTAGATATAAAAATCTGAAGTTATATTTTTCCTAATTCAAATTATTTTTTTTCTATATTTTTTAATAATTATATGTGTTGTATACACGATTGCCTGAAACAAATAAAGAGTTAATTTTTTTAAGCAATCATTATTGGTTTGGTCTTATGTTCAATTTCATACTTGTGTATTGGATTATTAAAATTTTAATTGATATGTGTCTCATAAGCCTCTTCTTTCTTTATATATTTATATTTTAATGATTTGTGACTTAAATAAAATAACTTATATTACTGTTAAGGGAACTTGTAAAGGTAGTACATGTTCATTAAATGGGGTGTTTTGATTATTTATCGATTATGCCTCTCCGATTATTTCGATTTATCAATTATTATTTTCAACTGATTGCCCATCACTAATTATATAATGTAGGTCTTTGGTCTAGTTCCTATGCGTTGACCTTGTGACGTAGAAACTGTTTTAAACATCAAATTTGAGAACTGCTGTGAATTGATAGAAAAACTTTTGCAGGGACAATGTGAAATTAATGCTCGATTGGTTTTTAATTATTTGTGGTTCAATCAGAATTCATTTTTAATAATCAAATATCTGTTAGTAGGCCTACAGGATTCAAAATACTTTCTAACTGGTTAAAGTGATACTACACCTTAGAATACACTCGTCCTCTGGCTAATATTTGTGTTTAATAGTGACCATTGGTTAAATAAGTATGCATCCCCCACTTTATCAAGTCAGTGGTGGAGTATTCATTCTAAATTATATGAATTACTTTTTCGCAGAGTTGCTTAATCTCCTACGAGGCATTATTCCGTCTTCAAAATATGACAATGTCGAGGTCAATTCAAGAGTAGAGGTCAAGGACGCGGGAAACAACACTTGAGAGTTACTTCCCCTTGAAAATTACACCAGATTTCCTAGACTTACGATTTGAAAATCGCATAATGGATGTATTAAGCGTTTTATACTTAATTACTTGATTTTGTGGATATATCAGATTATAGAGGAATTTGATGTATAGTTAGGACACCAGGTAAGTCCACTGATGGATATATACTGTTATTGGCCAAATTTGAGCAAAATTAAAAGTTTATGTTCATCTTAAGATGTAGTATCCCTGTAAGACTTTTTAATTTTTACCGCTTAGCGGTAGATATTTTAATTAAGTAAAAACTTTCAAAAAGGTAAATGACATCTTCTTTTACATATTGGCTTGGTAGTTTTATGTTTTTATTCACACTCCAAGCCACAAAAGCTGATTGAAAAAAGCAGAATTTCCCTTTGAATAGGTTAGTTCTACACTAAATGCTATGATTGGAATGGTTAAAATTAACGTCATTAGAACGGGACTATGAAAACAAAATATCATACAAGAATCTCAATTTATTGCAATGTTTTTTGTAAAATAAGTTAGTATAGTTGTACCGCGTAGTAGTAACCCTAGTACCGGTACTGTAGTAGTGAAAGTAATCTACTTGGATTGAAAACTAGTCAACAATATTTTTTGGGAGGAGAGTCCTCCTAGACAAAAGACATGATCAGATGCAATCTTTCTAAGAGAGATTCTTTCTACCTGTTGAGTGCATAATTGCGAGTTGCATGACAATCACTTTCTAAACCACTTATCGGCTATTGTAATAGGACTCATATTTTGATCTTGTGATCTGTATTTGACTATATGGTACATGGGCCATTGATGATTTGATGTCATGACCTGTCATACCAATTGACTTCTGGTAAGGACTCATTCAAGTCTGTATTATAAGTGAAAAAACAGAGTTCATTTCTGGGCTAATGAACTGTAAATCTTTTTAATATCAAAGTATAATTGCATTTAGATGTGAATGATGATGGCAAGGAAATTAAAGAAGAACATTTTGTGGGGTATGGAGAAACAGCTAGAATTAACAAATTTTCAGATCAGAAAGAAAATAGTGACCCACAGCAAGGTATGAATAAAAGTTAAACTTAAGAACCATTCATTTATTCTAATATCAACCTAAGGAATAATGAAAAACCAAATATGCTTGCAAAGTCTCAGGAAATCAAGTCAGGAACTTGAGATTGATTATACATGTAATCATATGTGTCTAATGCTATATTTAACATTGTGCATTTGGACAATTGAGGAAGCATTGTTCTAACCTGAACCTGAGACTGCCAATAGTTAATAGAAAAGACAAATACAAATTTATAAGTAGTATTTCTAGTTTGACTGAAGCTTATATTTGAAGGGATGAGAGTGCATTTCTAGTACTATTTTCTTAAGGGTATTAACATATTAGACCCAAATCCTAAGAAAATGCTGATTGTTGATCTTTAACAAGTTAAAATGTCGTTGAATATTACCTTGCTTAGTGAGCCATCTTTCTTACAGGTGCAAATACTGATGATAAATTAATAAAAAAGGAGAATAGTGATGAAAACAATATTCAAGAAAACTTTAATGGTACGGTGTTATTATAGTTATTATACCCATAGATTCAATACATCAAACAAAATTTTTATTCTTACTAATTAAACATTGGTGACTTTCTTGCTGGACTTTATTTACAAACTCATACAGAGTGGAAGGGATAGAGTGATCACATCTTTTTATGTTGTATGTAATCTTCACAATGAATTGTCATGCTGGAGACAATTCTGCTTGATTTAGATTTATGGCCAATTTACTTTAATTGAAAACATTTGTATATTTGTCTCTTGTTTACAAATATTGAATAAATAATTTCAGATGAAATGAAAAATTTGACAAAAAAGAAGCGTGGTAAGATATTAACACCAGAGGAATGGTTTGGGAAGAAACCAGATGAATCCAAGACAAATTGTAATGCAGGAACAGCACAGTGAGTTTTACCCAATTCTTTTGGTGTGATTTTCTCTATTTACAAGTACAGCCCTAGAGATTTAATCACGCCCTGTGTGCAAGAGGCTGTAAGCTTACACATTAAAGATCCCCTGACAGTTGGAAATTAAAAAAAAGGTAGGCTTATGCCGCTGACCTGACAAATCTCCACACTGCATCAGGGTTGGTGATTTTTTTATTTAAATCTGATTTTGTATAGGTTTTTTTATATATGTGAACTTACATTGCCGTCGCCCCTGTCCCTCCGTTCACTTTTCTTGTTTTTATCCAATCTTGATGAAACTTGGTATGCATGTATATATGTATGAGATCTCAGTCAAGTTCGAAATAGGTATTAATTGGATGACCAGTTTTAGAATTATTGCCCTTGACTTAGCAAAAGCGCATCAAATTTGGCTTGTAGGCACAATAGAGACGACAGTTTTCATCTGATCTTGATAAAACTTGGTAATGCATGTATATATTGATGAGATCTCAGTCAATTTCGAAATTGGTAATAATCGGATGAATGGTTTTGGAGTTATTGCCTGTGACTTATCAAAATGCATCAAATTTCGATTGTAACCACGATAGAAAGTGGCGAATCTAAACATTCATTGAAATGCATTCGAAGCACATGGCTTGTATCGAGGGCATGCGTTTAGCTTATCCATAATATTATTATGTCTTTTATTTAATGATTTCAAAATTGAGTTTAGGATAATATTAACTAAGCAAGTTTAACTTTAGAAGTGTTCAGTTCAATATTTAATTAGGCCTATTTATCTTTGCATTTGCATCGACCATGCTTCTTGTTTGGTTTTGCGGGTCACCCCAGGACTGAACTTGGCGCGAATTGTATTAAAAATTTTTATAACAGCTTCGAAAAATGACGATTTTTCATAATTGAACCAGTTATGTTTTCATGCGGATGATGCCATTTTGACAAGTGACAGTGAAAGACGATTTTTTTACGTCACACGTTTTCATACTTACGTCACTTTTTAACTTAATACTTACGTATGTAGTGAGACGGATGTAAGTAAATGCAAGTGACGGTGAAATGCGATTTATTGATTTTATGTCACGTATTTTCATACTTATGCCTCTTTCTCACTTAATACTTACGCATGCCTTAGTGAAACGGGGGCCAGTGGTGGGTCGCTATCCATGAGGTCATGGGTTCAATCCCCTGATAGGAAAAGTTTATCAAGATTTTCGAATCCATCTTCCCTCAGACACTCTGGCAAGGAGTAGCACCTAGGGTGCTGTATTAGTAGGCATGATAAACTATCCAGGACAAGACTAGGACTTGTGTATATTGATAGTCTAAATATGGTATTAAATTTTGTTACATTTTATGCTGTCAATAATTTTGTTTTGATTTGAGAAAAATTGTTATTCTATTTCTGCAACAGATAATTTGTATTTTCCAGGAGAGTACTAAAGTCTGCACCTGTAAGACAATCACCTCGTCTGAATCCTAATTCTGAAAATAATTCAATGAAAAAAGTTAGTTCTATGTCAAATTTACATAAGAGAAGAAATTCAATGGAAGGTGCTAAAAAGGTACTTAAGAAAGTTGATTCACAATCCAAGTTAAAGCGTTCATCATCTTTAAGAACAAAATCGTGTAACAGTCCAGTAAATCGAACTACTTTAAGACGTGGCTTGTCTACAGAAAGATTGGTGGTACAAACCACAGATATTCAGAAGAAACCTAAGATCACCATGCCCATGACACCAAAATTTATGAAGTAAGTACAAATATAAGCGTTTCTGAAATCTCAGTGGTACCTCTTTTCTATACTAAATACTGAAGTATCACTGTAACACAAACTGTTATTACAAAAAACCTTGTCTTAATGCTACATCATGTTTTGCATTTTATTCCAAATGTACCTTTGTACAACTGTTCTGAGATTAAAGGTTGCTCTATTAGCCCACTGATGTATTTCACTTAGTGCTAAGCTAGTCAAGAAAGTTAAAGACATATGTAAAAACTGTTATTGATAAAGTGTACTTTATACCTAATTTCTGACAAGATTTAACTGAACATGAACTGAACATTATTTTATAGGAGAAAGACAGCAAGTGTTGGCTCACCAAGAGTTGTTAAAAATTCTGAAGAACAAGAATTAGAGAAAATAGCTGAATTACAAAGACAAATGGTACAGAGAAGGAAGTTAGCTGAAGAATCATTAAAGAAGTTGAAGGAAGGTGGAGCAGCTGTCCCTGTGATCAAAGGTCGTAGTGACAAAAATATAGAACAAGAAAATAAATCCCAGAATAGACTGAAAGGCTTCTTCAGTAATATTAAAGATAAGATGAAGTCAGGATCTGTAAGTGTGCAAAATATTCATTATTCAAAATGGTGTAAATAACACCTTGAAAAATTTCTAAAATATGTTATTTACTGCTATGTTTCTTAATCTAGATGATCAACTTGAAAAGGGTTAATATAAAAACAGAGCGTACTAATTATTAAGTAAGCGGTATAAACTAGTATATCCATCGGTCCGTCCGTCAACATTTCTTGTGAGCACTTGTGATGCTTTAGATTGATAAGATCTCGGACGAGTTTTGGAGTGATTGCCCTTGACTTTGTAAAACACTTCAAAATTTGTTTGTAAGCACAATAGAAAGCTACAGCTTTCAACCGATTTTGAGGAAACTTGGTGTGATCGTTGGAATTGTTAAGATCTTCGACAAGTTATAACTTGAGATATTTTTGATGAACGTTTTTATTGAGTTATTGCCCTTAACTTTGTAAACACGCGTTAAAAGTTGTTTTTGCCCCTTGATTAGAGCTGTGTGATTTAATTGTTTGTTGTATTTGGGTTTTTGATATTGATTTTAAAAAATTTTGTGGAATTACTCCACATAAATAACTGGCATATATGTAATTGAATTCAAACTAATAAAATTTCTTCAATATGAGAAAATTTGTACTTTAGTCACTAAAGACTGTTTTATCATTTCTGACAGCTGCCAGTGAGCGTATGTTACCTTGTCTCGCAAGCTATCTTTGTCCTTTATAATGGCCTACTATTTGTAGTTGAAACCACCAGAAAAAGTAGCAGTCATATTTCTCTCTCATTTGGAGTTTATTTTGCTTATAATCTGTTCATAAGTTTTCTAAATTTAAGATTCCATATACTCGCCATGCGTTAAAAATGGAAATAGTTGGTTTAAGAGCGTATGATTCCATATATGCGGAAGCGGTATCCGTCAAATGGTCTCCATCTTGCGCCAAAAAAAAAATCGTTGGGCGTAGCAATTTTTGAATTTAAAAAGATAACACATACGTTTAACGCACATATGAAATCATATTTGACGCATGATGGATCCACAAGGGCCATGTATGTATGCGTATATGGAATCTTAGCATAACACCGACAAATATACCGGTACTTCTTGGTGTTAAAAGGTTTACGTAAAACTCAAAAGATATTTTTTTTTTGCCAGTTTATCGAAATGTCCCTTCTTTTTTCACATCCGGGTTAATGTCCCTTCTTTTTTCAATTAAGAAGTATCATAGATAGTTTCTTAACTATGCTTAAGCCCTTTTGATTGTAAACCCCCAACTTTTGTTATTGAGGCAATAGATTTGATGTGACTCTTAATACATCATTGACTTGTTATTTTAAAAAAGCAGGAACATTGAAGGCTTTTAAAGTTCCATGTATCTGTTGAATTTTTGTTTTAGTCAAAAGAAAGTGAGAAGGAACGAAGTAAACAATCAGTAGACAATAATAAATTTGAGTCAATGGCTGAAAGAATTTTGAATTTTCAAAAAGGAACACCAGAAAGATTTCATACTAGAGCTAAAGACAGATGCAAAGGTAAATAGACCTATTTTATTTTGATTTTCACAGTACCGGTATAGTTACCGGCTTTAGGTGAAGGTGTAACTATAAAAATGTAATGATTGGTTTAAGTCAAATAGTGATGCATACTATTAACTTCAAAACACGGTTCTGTACTCTTTCAGGTTTAAAAAGATTGAGGTCTAATTCTAAATCACCACAGAAGGTAAAAATAACAATGCCTCATACCCCAAATTTACAATGTACAAGACGAAATAGACCAATCAGAGTTCCAAGCCACCAACAGTTAGAGGAAAAAGAAATTGAAGAAATGAAGAAAAATCAGTTCCATGCCCGTCCTGTTAATACTAAGATATTAGAACAAACCACTGGCATAAAACAGATTGTCAAAAAACCTACAACGAAAGTTGAGGGTTTTAATTTAAGCTCTGATAAAAGAGTTAAAGACAGGGAAGCTTCTAAAGTTAAAGATGAGGAAAAGTTTGTTTTCCATGCACAACCTGTTAATAATAAAATACTGGAAGGTGTAGTGGTAAGTAATTCTCTGTGTTTTTAAACATGAAGATTGTGTTTATAGACTTTATTTGAGATGATTGACATACAATTGTATTTGAATTTACATACAATACAATCAAATCACTGCATTTGCAGTCAAGTCCAGACTATTGCAGGTACGGTAATAAATCAGTGGTATCAATCTCATGAATGTGCTATTCAATGTTTTCTTGTAACTGGTCAATTCCTATGTGTAAGCAGAACATGAAGGACATGCAACATTTATTAGTTAACAATAAAATTTTACAAAAATATGATCACCTGTTTTAATTAACTTGTAATTTTGCACAATTATTGATAATCAATTTTCTAGGGAGTGAAGCCTGCAAAAGAAATTCCTGGTACAGTTCCACAATCACCAGCTTTTGCTTTGAAAAACAGAGTAAGATTACCAGTAGAAATACCAGAAGATAAGGTTAGCTATATTTTATATTGTTATCAAAGTATATTTTTCGAATGGTATTAACGAATGGTAAATTCTTTGTCCAAATAGAGAAATTCCCAACTTATATGCAGATCATGTAATTTTGGTAACATCAAATTCAATGTGTTATGAGAATACTTTTGGATAGATCTCTTATACATGTACGCAGATTGTGATTTTCAGCATGATAAAATTCATAGAGCTCGTCATGTACCTCATTATGGTTTACCATTTCAACCTAAGATATCACACAAAACAACAGTCATGCAACCATTTAGTTTTGAAAATCGGGATCGAGAGAGGGCTGCTAAGAAAGAGGCTAAAATACAACAAGTACTGGATGATGAACAGAAGGTCAGAAGCAGCCAGAAAAAGAAATGACACTGTATTAACACCACTGTTTAACACCTTTTATATGAGTGCTGAATTATTTTAATTGAAATAGTGGCAAACATGAATTGATACTGTCCTCAAAATGGTATTTAATATTTGGGATTAAAAAAGGTTATGAATTTTATAAAGATCCTATTAGAAACATATTGATTCATGTATGTTGCTTTGTTTTTATTTTGCACTTTTTAATCACTTTAATAGTTTTTAACCTTTCACATTGTTTTCAATACCGTTATGCACAGGAAGCAGTACATGTTCTTAGATCACGCCCTGTTCCACATGTTGGAGTTCCATTTAACCCTAAACTAACTCACAAGAAAACCATACCAGAACCCTTCTCCTTTGAAGAACAGACACATCAGATGGAGCTAAGGAGAGCAGCAAAACGGCGAAAAATATTTGAGGAGGAGAAAAAGGTGAAAATAATTCTGTTCTTTTCATTTTGCATTTAAGCACTGTTTTCTATTAATCTTAACAAGTTGCACAAGGTTTTTATGAGTTTTTTATGTCCAAAGATGATCGTGATATGCCACCTTGGACTATCCATGACTCATTTCTCATGATCTAAAAAATCACAATCTTGTGGCTAGAAATATGAACTTAAAATTCATTAAAACTTAATTTCATGGGCAAAAGATAAAAGATGGCTTTTGATTCTATATGAATCATTGAATGCATTTTCAACTGATTTTGGACTGATACCTAGTATGTTATTAATTATCAAATTAGCCACAAGTATTAACTAGTTGATGGTATAAAAAGACGCTACCATTATTATATATTATTACAGGCAAGAGAATTCCATGCCCAGCCCATGCCACAACTTGATGAACCCGTTGGTATACCAGAAAAACAAGGTAAAAAATGGACAATGCCTGTTCCATTTGAATTTGAAGTTGATTTTAGAAGTTCAAGGAGAGCTGAGGATAGTCAAAGCAGAGTAAGATATTTTATTTATTACAGAATTTTCCTTACCTAAATTTGCTTTTCAAATCCAAATCATATCTGGAAAATTCTTAAAAATTTTTTTTAAAAGATATTAAAGATTGTTTTTTAAATAAAAGCTTCTTGTTTGTACCTCGTAAATGTTTGAAATGTTAGACATACATACTATTCAACTAGGTGGTGACAAATTCAATCTGAGACTGAAGAACTCCAGAATTGATTATTAATTTTGATTTATAATTGATAAACAAAACCAAGTCAATTGTTTTACTTTAGAATGAAGAAGATATGTTATCTGATGACAAGACTGTTTTTAAGGCTAGACCCCTTACTGTTATTTATCAAGAACCATTTGTTCCTAAAAAATCAACGAAACCCTTAACAGGTAGGTTTTTTGCAGTGCATTCTTTTGGAAATGTCTATTTTTTTTTTTTTTTTTAGAATTTTACGTTTGCTTGGGTTTTTTTTCAAGAAGCAAACATACTTGTCCGTTCCTGTTTTCTATTCAGTATATTGGACAATTATTTTTTAAATGTAACACGGCACCATTTTGACCAACTGGAAATGACCTGTGGACAATGGCTTTTTTACATTTTTTCTATTTATATTACGCTATTTGCTTGTAAAATAAAAAAAATGCTTTTCTTCTATTTCTGGTCATATACGTATTTGTGTTGTCCAATGTTTTCTTCTGGTTTTATAACTTATTGAAAAGTACGATTTTTATCTTTAAAGAGCTCTGTCACGTGACCTAATTTGCAAACACCAAAAATCTGCCCTTAATAATGATACATAACACTAGATAATTCAATCAAAATTGCATTTTTTAATTTCTGAAAATTTTGTATTTTCTTCTTTGTTAACTATGCATGTTTTTTTTTAAATCAAAATGGGTCCTAATATTGATTGCTAAATAATATTTGAGAACCGATTTATCAGTTTTGATTTTGTTTTGTATTTACTTCCAGTTGAAAAACATGAATACTTTGAAAGGTTGTATATCGTGACCTTGACCTTTGGTGACCCGAACGATTTTTATGCCCACATGAATATGTGGTCGTATATTGTTGTTGCCCCTGTCTGTTGGTCTGTCAACATTTCTTGTGGGCACAATATAGACTACAGTTTTAATTTGATTGTAAAGAAACTTGGTGTGAGCATTGGGATCAAGTTCGAATTGATAATTTTTCTATGAACGGTTTTTATACGCCCACATCTCTCTATGTGGACGTATATTGTCGGCACCCCTGTCCGTTCGATTTTTTGATGGAATCAAATGAAATTTGGTTTATATATACATATTCATAAAACGAAGATCAAGCTCGAATTTGAGCTATTTTTGACTGTTAGAAGCAGAGTTATTGCCCTTGACCAAAAATCTTGAATATGCTCTTTCTCTCTTAGTTTTCAACCGATTTTGATGAAACTTAAAATGGATGTTATTGGACCTAAATCGAAAGGTTTGAGAAAGTTTAGTTTACTTCTGATTAAATTTAAGGATTTTTCAAGATTTATGCCTCTTACGTGAGTTTAACCTCTATACAGTAAGTGCTTATATCAATATCAATTGCTCATAAACTTTCTAACAACTAGAGGAATCAAATGAAATTCGGAATGTGCATACATATTCATGAAACGAAGGTCCATCCGTCAACATTTGCTTGCAAACGCTCTAAAAACTAGATTTTTTGATGGAATCAAATGAAATTCGGTATGTGTATATGGCTGTAGTCCACTATCTTTGAGTAATTGCTCTTGACTTAGTAAAATCGCGTCAAAATTTGTGAGCATTGGGATTGATAAGATGACGGGTTACGTTTGAATTTGACGATGTTTCGATAAACGGTTTTTATATGCCCACATGGAATGTATATATTGATGAGATCTCAGTCAATTTCGAAATTGGTAATAAAGGGTTTTGGAGTTATTGCCTTTGACTTTTGATTGTAGCCACGATAGAGACTACAGTTTTTATCCAACCTAGATGAAACTAGGTATGCATGAATATGTTGAGATCTCAGTTGAGTTCGCAATTGGTAACAATCGGATGAAGGGTTTCAGAGTTATTGCCCTTGATTTAGTAAAAACTACTCAAATTCGGCTCACAGGCACAACATAGTCTACAGTTATTATTCATTATATATTGATGAGGTCTCTGTCAATTTAGTAATTGGTAATAATCAGGTGAACGGGTTATTGCCCTTGTGTGTACAGCAATGAGATATTGTTCATGTTTGAATTTGATGATATGATGAACTGTTTCAGGTTTTTGCCTTGACTTATAGATGAATTTAAGAAAATACATTATTAAGCCACTAAAGATCATTTCTTACAGCTGGTAGTGGGTGTATGTTACCTTGCCTGGCAAGCTATCTTTGAGTTATTGCCCTTGACTAAGTAAAATTGGATCAAAATTTGGTTGTGAGAGCAATAGAAGCTTCAATTATCAATGGATTTTGATGAAATTTTGTGTGAGCATTGGGATTGATCAGACGCGGTCAAGTTCGAATTTGCTACAAACTTTTTTTTAGTTATTGCCCTTGACTTAGTGTGAGTTTGAGGATACGTTAATATCTATCTTTTGTGGTCTAAATGATAAAGGTTCCGTAGTTTGCTACCCTTCAACTGCTGTAGCTTAACTTATATAGGACATCCTATTGAGCACATATTTTTAAAATCATGTAAATTGAATTGTTCTGTACACAAGTCTGGTGACAAAATTGACCCCGTAAGGAATGTAATGAGTTAAAGCGATCTGTCGAATATGCTGTGCGATGGGTGATCTAGAGAAGGAGACACAAGTTTCAGCAGTCTGTTGAATATGCTTTTTAGTTTAAACGACCTATATCCAGTTTATTAGTGTAGAAAATCATGTTACTGTAATGTTTTAAGTTTTAAAAATCAAAACTGTTACGCACTGCGTCAGAACCACATGCAGCCTGTGGATCTAGTCTTTGATTTCTTTTATATCACAAATGTATATCAACCCATTATTTTGTTTGTTTATCATTTAAACGGCAGTTCATGTTGAAATTCGAAGGGACAATATTGGTTAATTTTTGCAAATAATTTCCTTATATTCCTTTTTTCTCATCCAGATGTATCAGATTTTGAGTTATTTACTGAAAGACGCGCAGCTAAAAGGGAGAGTTATGAAATGTACAAGAAGTATAAAGAAGCTGAAATTGATGCACAGAAGAGGCAAAGAGAACATGAAGAAATGGAAGCTGAAAAGGAAAGGATAGCTCGTGAAAGACAAGAAACTGTACATAAAGCTAATCCTATACGTAGCTTTGCTGCTGTCAAAATACACCATAGTGACAAGCCATTAACTAAAGCTGAATCACCTCATTTCTCCGATAGATTTAAGATTTAATTGATGGGATATTAGATTTAGATTTTAAATTTATTTATAATACATTAACATGTGTTAATAATTCTTTTTGAACTCTTCTCTAAGAAGTTTATTTATATTCTGATAACTAATCACATAATGGTATAGGTTTGTTAAGATATTTAATGTTGATACCAATTAATAACAAATCAAATACTTTTATCAAACTACAATCTTTGGACATGTGCAAGCTTTTAATGGGAAGTATTTGTCTTTATATTTGCTTTGCTAGTTAATTTTAGCTAGCTGTATCTGTATGAAACTATATTTCTTGTTCACGAAGAGTTTCTGGTTTATTTAATGAGCTTCAAATGTCTAGTAAATTAATACAGGACAGGTGCTGCATTTTGGATGGTTGATTTTAGCCTTGAATATATCTAAATAGTCTTCAGAAGTACTTGAAATGTATGAAAATCACAGAATTCCTTCAAAAATACTTCAAACTAAGAAATTTTCTCCCTATTTCTATATATGTCACTTCTATATATCACAGAGTATTTTAACATACTACCACAGATAATTCTGGATGCAGATGGATTTGAAGAACACTATTAGTGATAAATTCCAGTTTCTGAGACTAAGGTATGATTGGTCAAAAAAAATGGCCTACCTGTCCCTTTAACCATTCATGTTGCCGCATATAGTTAAAATTATGACCATTTAACTGTTTTTGAATTATTTAAATGTGGCATCCATTCATGTTTTAACTGTTCATATGTTATCTATTCTCGTTTAACTGAGATTTAGTAGCCCGTAAAACTCATTTCATTTCAACTGAGATTCTTGATTGTAGTTTCTGTACTCACTGTAACACAATCATTTCCATCCATATATAAACTTCATCCTGAAAATCTGCTGGCCAAGAATATGTTTTGGCATGTTATTTTTGAAATATTTTATACATCGATTTCATTCACTTTTTGATCATTGTCATGTTTTCATTTTATTCTTGCCTTTTAACTCTTTCTGGTATTTCTCTTTCAATGTAAATATTCTCAACTATTAAAGACAAATCATATTAAATATATATTCTAGTAGTTGGACCATTTTATTTTCATAACTTAATATAATTTATATTTAATGAAGTTGTCTGTCTGTTCAGTGATAGGCTTGACTGTGTCCTTTAATAGTAATTGTTACCATGCAATAAACATTTAATTATGCCCCTATCAGCAGTACACAAGTACTCGGTCTGATATTAGACCAAACTTTCCGTTTTATTATTAGTTTTTATACGCCCACATCTCTCTGTGGACGTATATTGTCGGCACTGTCCGTTCGTTCTTCAACATTTGCTTGTAAACACTCTAAAAACTAGATTTTTTGATGGAATCAAATGAAATTCGGTATGTGTATACATATTCATAAAACGAAGATCAAATTCGAATTTGCTATTACTCTCTTAGGTTTCAACCGATTTTGATGAAACTTAAAATGGATGTTTCGTTTATACCATCTGCATGCCGTGAAGGGCGTATATGGCTGTGGTCCACTATCTTTATTATTTCTATTTAGACACTCCAGTTAGTATCTAACCAATCCCTAATATAACATTTAGCTGTCAAATAACACTGCCAGCCAATCAAACAAAAGGTCACCTGCAATGTGCTTCAAAGAGAATGAAACCTGTTTTTCAAGTTTACTGAAACGGCAGTGGCTATTTACCACTTGCGTGGAAAGCTTGGTAAATAGTCACAAGTACCCTTACAGCTATATACCACGGTGTGGTAAATTGTTAATTTAGGCCAATGTCACCATGTTAGTCTATCATAGAGACGAAACGTGGTAACTAAATTTTACGTTTTTTTTTTTGGTGGATTTCATCACTTTTTAGGTTTCAAAATTATAAATATTGTGCCCATTTCAAACAGAATCAACATGGGGCAAACATGAAAATACCAAAAATGTATAGGGTCGAAAGCACTTCTATGGGATTTTTATTCTCATATCACCCAACACCACAATTGTTGTGGAAATATACACTACATACTCAGGGGCATAGCCAAAATTTCATTGACGGAGTGAAGGGCACTACCCTCTAAATACACTATAGTTACGCACTAATATTAGGAGACAAATTGCATAAAACTTATTCTCAAACAAAATACCATCGGGGAAGATTAGTCCTGAATTGATTTTGAACTATAAGCTTGCTTTCCCATTTATTAGCAGGGTTAAAAGTAAATTTTGACTAATATGTAATTAAAATCTATTGCTGAAAGCAAATGAATGTACACCAAATTTCATACAATGCAGAACTTTTTAGATAGGTTTGAATTGAGAAGTATTCAGCCTTGAACTTGGAACTCTTCACAATTGCCCTTGACATTAATTTGTAAATAAACATAACATTTATTTTTCAAAAAGGGGATTTATGATGAACATGAGTTTTTGATTGCAAAATCGTTATTTTGAATGTTTAGGTATTTTTAAGCAATTTTTCCCGAAAGGAATATCAAGTCATGACTAATTTTATTTACCACACTGTGGTAAATAGCTGTAAGGGTACTTATGGCTATATACCACGCTTACCACGACAGTGGTAAATAGTCATTGCCCAATGAAACTGAACATCAAGTCAGAGCAAAAGTTATTCATAGGAAGAAACCATAAAAGCTTACTAGAACAAAAAAATAAACACAACAAACGGTTGGTTTGCACAAATGCTACATATTACTTTTCACTACTTAAAGGAATAATACGTCTTAGAATAAACATAAAATTTTATACTTGGCTAATAAGAGCATATATTCATCAGTAGATATTCCTGGTGTCATAAATAACATAACAGGATCCTTATATAATCCGATAAATCCAAAAAAACTTAGTAATTATCCATTTATCTATAAAAATATAAAAAATTATTATATTAAATTAACTATTGAAAAACGCTTAGCCTAATATTAAGATTAAGCTTTTTTCAATAATTACTTAGTTTTATGAATTTTTCTCAATTTTCCAGATTTTACAGGGATTCTGTGGTAACTTCATGACACCAGGTAAATTCACTGATGAATATAATATACTCGTACTGACCATTCTTGAGAAGTTTTATGATCATTCTTTGAAGTAGTACACAATTCAGTGAAACAATGTTTGATCAAAATGGCTGCCATAAACTAATTTCCATGATTCTGGTGTTTTCCAAGTGTGAATATTTTTCTGAAAATTAAAAGAAGACCGGTCATTCAAATTTCAGTGTTTCTAATATAATTATTCTTGCCTCTTTTAGACTTTGGTTTAAGTGAGATAACTTTGCTCCTTTTTTTGACTATGGCTTCCTTTTGAGTAAACATGGTTGACAAGGGTTGTTTTCAAAGATAGCGATGAAAGTAGTCTTTACCTCCCAATTTCCTTGACAAATATCAATATTGAATATACTTCATTATGTTACGTCATTGGATCCTCCCTTATATCTTTAAAACTCAGCACTCCAATGAGTACATCAAAAATTCTAAAACAACACTTACTGAAGGTCCAATCAGATGTAACCAGGAATTCAGACAATTACATAGGGTTATAGAGTCTTGTATATTATCACCTTCTGAACAAAACAATGACATCATCAATACAGAACTCTCTGAACTAAAAAAAAAAAAAAAAAAAAAAAAAAAACCTTGGCTTAGTGTCTGAACTAGTAACATTTATTTACTTAACTTGGCATTTTATTATTTTAATTTCTACTTGTGCAAATTGAAACATACCACTTATGAAATAACTGTTTAGCCATACCACTACCAGGTAAAAATATAGAATCTGTCATTTCATCACCATGTCTCTTTTCTACTTCTTTCCATTTCAAGGTTTCCAAAAACAATTTACCATTTTTTTCTTCAACAGATTTTGACATTAAAATACGAAGCTGACATCTGGAAGAAATGTATGCCCAATACAATACAATCTGACTCTCTCCACAGGCTACAGACATTATTTAAATGAAATGCTACCATTAAAATGCATTCAAACTTAATGGAAGTTTAAATGCTATTAAAACATTGCATTAATTGTTAAAAGTAATTAATGAGAAGATCTGAGCTGTGAAAAGTTTGCTGACGAAATTTACTCCCTGACTATTGCCCAATGAAATCACTGCCAACAACTTGAGGGTGGTCTTTTTTGACTAATCAAATATGAAAGTAACATCTGAGAGCATTACACTGTCAGTATTTCTGCCTATTATATTTAATCTAATTGGCAATGATATTCAATGACCTAAAAAAACAATATGGGTTTTCTCCCTGACCCAATGAAATCACTGCCAACAACTTGAGGGTGGTCTTTTTTGACTAATCAAATATGAAAGTAACATCTGAGAGCATTACACTGTCAGTATTTCTGCCTATCATATTTAATCTAATTGGCAATGATATTCAATGACCTAAAAGACAATATGGGTTTTCATAGGATCCTAAATTTTTCTCCAATGTCTTATATTTAAACAGGTGAGATAATTATTTACATTATGTAGTTCATGGTATGTATGACACATTTTGCATTCAATGGCACTGGAAGCTCCTTATTGCAATAAATTATGGATTTGACTGATAGTAAGTTTTTTAAATTATGGCCTTAGATTTGATGCTATAAAATCTAATATCATAATGTGTCTGAGACATATTTTAGCTTTTAAAGGGACATTCCGCTTTTTATGTAGGTCAAAAAATTATTTGCTAAAATTTGTGAAAACTATACAAAAAAATAGATAGAAATTTTTCCCAAAAGTTTACGTAAGGTTATGAATTTTACTCACTATTTCTAAATATGTCTTTTCTATATATCACAGAAGATTTTAAAATGACAAGTCGTCATTTTAACATTCCAACGCGGATAATTCTGGACACACATGGATTTGAAGGCTCAAATTTTGACGGTGAGCTGAGAACACTATTACTGATTGACTTAGCTAAAAAATTCTGTTTCTGAGACTTTTGTATGATTGGTCAAAAAAATTGGCACACCTGTCCCTTTAAAACAAATTCAGTTGATAAAGAAGATACATAGAGATAATAGCACACTTTAGAAATATTTTCAGGTATAATTTATGATGTTTTTGACAATAAAAATGTTTTACCAAAAAAAAAACCAGAATGCACCTTTAACAAATTGCATAATTAATATTTTCTTACCCAAATATTTGAGAGTCAACCCTTTCATGAGCAAAACTACTTGTTAGAATAATGATTTGTTTAAATCTATTTTCTTTTATCCAATCTGATAGCCAGGTAACAAATTCTTCTTTCTTTCCCTATGGATAGAGTTAATAATATATTGCATGAAATTATAAGTTCTAACAACTAAAGATAATGGATATACCCAATCCATTTCCATTTTGCCACTTCCCATTATGTCCCTTTCCCATTTCGCCCCTTCCCAATTACCTCCTCAATCTCATTTCACACATTCCAAATTTTGCATTGTATTTTCAATAAGATTTCGACACAAATAATCCCTTCAAATATACTTCAAACTAAAATTTCACTTTTTAAACGCCCACAAATATATTTTGGATGTATATAGTAATCACCCTGACAGTCCGTCGGTCCGTTCACATTTGGCTTGTACTCACTCTACAGGCTACAATTCTTTACAGATTCTTTTTATACAGATTCTTTTATGTGGTCGTATATTGTTGTCGCCCCTGTCCGTCTGTCCGTCAACATTTCTTGTGAGCATTATAGAGACTACAGTTTTTATCTGATTTTGATAAAACTTGGATTGATGCTTTAGATTGATAAGATCTCGGTCAAGTTCGAATTTGACATATTTTTTTCGATGAACGGTTGTTGAGATATTGCCCTTGACTAAGAACGTCTTGAAATTTGTTAAAAATTGTTCGTGAGCAGGATTGAAGCTACAGCTTTCATCCGCTTCTGATGAAACTTCTTATGATGGAATTCATAAGATCTCAGATAAATTCTAACTTGACGCATTTTCGATGAACGGTTTTTGAGTTATTGCCCTTGACTTTGTTAAAACGCGTAGAAATTTGTTAAAAATAGTTCGTGAGCAGGATTTACGCTACAGTTTTCAACCGATTCTGATGAAACTTGGTGTGATCATTGGAATTGATAAGATCTCGGACAAGTTCTAATTTGAGGCATTTTCGATGAACGGTTTTTGAGTTATTGCCCTTGACTTTGTTAAAACGCGTCAAAATTTGTTAAAAATAGTTCGTGAGCAGGATTGAAGCTACAGTTTTCAACAGATTCTGATGAAACTTGGTGTGATCAATGAAATTGATAAGATCTCGGACAAGTTCTAATTTGAGGCATTTTCGATGAACGGTTTTTGAGTTATTGCCCTTGACTTTGTTAAAACGCGTCAAAATTAGTTAAAAATAGTTCGTGAGCAGGATTGAAGCTACAGTTTTCAACCGATTCTGATGAAACTTGGTGTAATCATTGGAATTGATAAGATCTCGGACAAGTTCTAACTTGACGCATTTTCGATGAACGGTTTTTGAGTTATTGCCCTTGACTTTGTTAAAACGCGTCAAAATTTGTTAAAAATGGTTTGTGAGCAGGATTGAAGCTACAGTTTTCAACCGATTCTGATGAAACTTGGTGTAATCATTGGAATTGATAAGATCTCGGACAAGTTCTAACTTGACGCATTTTCGATGAACGGTTTTTGAGTTATTGCCCTTGACTTTGTAAAAACGCGTCAATATTTGTTAAAAATAGTTCGTGAGCAGGATTGAAGCTACAGTTTTCAACTGATTCTGATGAAACTTGTGATCATTGGAATTGATAAGATCTCGGACAAGTTCTAACTTGACGCATTTTCGATGAACGGTTTTTGAGTTATTGCCCTTGACTTTGTTAAAAAGCGTCGAAATTTGTTAAAAATAGTTTGTGAGCAGGATTGACACTACAGTTTTCAACCGATTCTGATGAAACTTGTTGTGATCATTGGAATTGATAAGATCTCGGACAAGTTCTAACTTGATGCATTTTTGATGAACGGTTTTCGAGTTATTGCCCTTGACTTTGTAAAAACGCGTCAAAATTTGTTCGTGAGCACAATAGAAGCTACAGTTTTCAACCGATTCTGATGAAACTTGTTGTGATCATTGTAATTGAAGATCTCGGACAAGTTCTAACTTGACGCATTTTCGATGAAATGTTTTTGAGTTAATGCCATTAACTTACGAAAAACCTAAACGTGAATGGACAACAAACAATGATTTGTACTTGCAATTAAAGCTGCTGGTGGGCGTATGTCTTTTATTTCTTTTAACTTTCAAAAGCAGATAATTCTGGGCTCAAATTTCGATGGTGAGCTGTGAACACTATTACTGATTAGCTTAGCTAAAAAAAATTCCTGTTCCTGAAACTCTGGTACAATTAGCTGAACAGTCGGTGAGACTGTCCCTTTAATCAAATACTCTAATTCAAATTTTCATAGTCAGAGAAAGTGAGAAGGAACAGTGATTAAGAGGTGAATTGGGAAGGGTGATTTCAATTTGTATACAAGTCAGAAGTAAACATAAAATACCTTTATTAATGGTGATCTCTGTTGTAAGACAACTAAATCTTGAGAACTATTTTCATAGACTGTAAAAGGGTTAAAATATGAACTGTGAAATTATAATAGGGGAAAAAAACAGGCTACTACACATTTTCCTATTTCAAATCTCCTCATGTATTTTCATCAGAAACATGAGCTGAGAGCTTATGACGAGCTCTCATTATTGATTAGACTTCATGGTTCAGTTTAGTGTATCCATTTCATTGGTTACATCAAACCATTTTAACTTGTCAAGATTCCACGTACAACCAAAATGAGAAATTTGACGGAAATACAATGGCTGGCTGAAACATACATACCTTCACAAGGTGTTGTTAACCTACAGTTGTTTTGAGAAAACTGAGTATAAGGATCATTACCAATGACAGGCAATATACTACTGTGATAAATAATTCCAACCTTTTCCAGATTTAATGATGAAATTATCAAATCTGTCGCTAGCTGTCCCACATTTCCTACTGACACACATGGCTGAAAATATTAAATTACTTATAATAAACCCAAAAGTACATCATTCTAGATAAGAATTATTGGCTGTGTACTACACAGTGTGTAGGGTGAAATGTTTTTTTTTTTTTAATTTTTCCATTATGTTTTTAAGAAAATTGGAAAGGCAGCATCAAAATAGTACTGTTAGTCTTAGAATATCATTATATTGATAAAAACATGTTCTTTTCTTGGATAATTTTCTGGAACTTTTTAGGTTAAAATTTTTACGAGAAAAATGTGTTTCTTTTTAAAATAAGACTTATAGTAGGCTACTATTTTGAGGTAGATATAATCTTATAAAAATAAAAAAATAGAGAAAAAAATCAATTAACGTTTTGCTTCGCTCAGATCACAGGCCCTTGAAGTTCTGTCAATATTAAAAAAGGCAATGTCGACAAAATAGTGTCAACGTACATAAAAAAGAGAAGGCTGCCAATGGCATAACAGGCACAAATGTAAACGTAGCTGTTACCTGTTCATAAAAAACTTCTGCTTTACTTTTTTAAATGAAGGACTGCTTACTTATGACTCCAGCAATCAATCTATTAGTACTTGACAAAAACCACTTTTGTCTTGTTTTGGAAAATAGTTAACTTTCATGATCAAAACGCCATTACACTGCAGTCCCACACAAAAAATTTACATATGTGTGTAAGAGAGTTTTGCTCAGGGAAGTTGACTATTTTCCAAATCAATACAAAAATGGTAAGAGTACAAAAAGTAGTCATAAGTAGGCAGTCAAAAAGTAAGGGAGAAGTCTTTCACGAACAGATAAGCAGTTTTGTTTACATTTGTGCCATTGGAAGCCTTCTCTTTTTATACACATCTCTCTATGTGGACATATATTGTCTGCACCCCTCTCCGTCCGTCGGTCTATCAGTCCGTCGGTAAACATTTGCTTGTAAACGCTCTAAATACTAGATTTTTTGATGGAATCAAATGAAATTCGGTATGTGTATACATATTCATAAAACGAAGATCAAGTTCGAATTTGAGCTATTTTCAACCGTTAGAAGCAGAGTTATTGCCCTTGCCCCAAAATCTTGAATATGCTATTTACTCTCTTAGTTTTCAACCGATTTTGATGAAACTTAAAATGGATGTTATTGGACCTAAATCAACGGGTTTGAGAAAGTTAAGTGTACTTCTGATTAATATCAAGGTTTTTTCAAGATTTAGGCCTCTTATGTCAGTTTTGAGGAGTTATCTCCCTTTAACCTCTATACCGTAAGTGCTTCTATCAATATCAATTGCTCGTAAACGCTCTAAAAACTAGATTTTGTGATGGAAACAAATGAAATTCGGTATGGTTATACATATTAATAAAACGATCAAGTTCGAATTTGAGCTATTTTCGACCGTTAAAAGCAGAGTTATTGCCCTTGCCCCAAAATCTTGAATATGCTATTACTCTCTTAGTTTTCAACCGATTTTGATGAAACTTAAAATGGATGTTTCGTTTTTACCATCCGCATGCCGTGAAGGGCGTATATGGCTGTGGTCCACTATCTTTATATACGCTGACACTATTTTCTCCACACTGCCCTTATTTCATTCATGTTGACAGAACTTCAAGGGTCTGTGCTCAGACAATACATGAATTTGAAATTATTTGAAATAAATTGTACCTATTTTATGACAAATATATAAGATTAATGATGTAATCATTCATTCAAATTGAAGCTATTGTCTGAGTAAATTTAAAACTATAAAAGTTTTTTTTAATTTTTTCGATATTTTTGGAGAAAATGGGAATATCTTCCCCATGTCATATCTGTGTTGATAAAAATACAATCTGTTGTAAGTTTACATTGAGAAGAGACACATTTCTCTCCCAGAAATTTCAACCCCAAAAGTCACAAATTTTGCTTGAAAATTGTCCTCTCTTCTGTAAAAATAAATTTTAACTGGTTAAATGTTAAATGTTGTAAACATGAATGAGGCCTGTATAGGCCTAGTGTATAGCAGGGGGGGTTCTTACAACAATTAAAGTTGAATTACTCCAATCATTCTTCCTCTTGCTTATATTCTTATACATTGTCAATAGAGTTATATTAGCCTAATGTCCACTAGAATATTTGACAATTTTGTTTAACATGGACGCTGACATCTTGAATTTTCATACTTTGCTACAGTAATAAAAACGTAAGAGTCTGTAGATAACTGTAGAAAACTCCTATTGATGTTGTTAGTCCGAAACCAGGTCCGAAGATATATTCCGAACGTCAAGCTGAAAAAAGAAATTTTAGATGCAGAGTAATTAGACATTCTAAGAGTAAATACTTCCTAGCGCAACTATACCACTTTAGAAACTGTTAATACATGTTGCATTTCTGTTATTATAGAATCTACATGGTTCTTGTTTGTTTGAACTTTGTCCTTACAAAATTGTTATATATGTCTAGTAACTCAAATATACAAAAATATATACATGTATAAACAATACTAATAGTATTTTTAAGAAAGTTTTGGAATACGATAGACAGATTATTTCAATATTATTCTATGTAAGCTTGTAAGCTACATGTTTACCTTTTTTTCAGATACATAAATATCAAAGAATGTACCGGTAACTAATTTTTGTTTAGGCCTACTTCCATTACTGAGTTTTGGGGACTATCAAAATGGGATATTTGTTAATCTGACTTTATGATTAATGATAATCAGCATTTAATTCAAACATGCAGTTCTATTACAGGTGTATAGTCATGTTGACTTCTCATTTTGATGAATATGCATTCCATAAAAATACAAGAATGAAAAGTTAGGCTAGGCCACTGTTGTCACTTTCTCTCAATATATAAAAGCAGTTAATTACTAAGTTAATCTGATGTTGGTTTTTCATTTATTATTAGAGTGATACAATTAAGTAAATGAAGTTAGGTTCTGTTAGCATATACAAATAAGTCAATTAGGCTTACATGTGTAGGAGCTTTTGTCTAAATATCTAGATCTATTAAACAAGATTAATAACCATAGGCCTACTTTAACTAAACTTTAGTATTGAATTATGTCTAATTTAGTAAATCTTATTGAAGGTAATATGGCTAGCAATATAAGAGTCGCAGTAATTGGTTCTGGTGCTGCTGGGCTTTGTGCTTTACGTCATCTAATAGCCAAACCACATGTATTTGAAGCCGTTTGTTTTGAAAAAGGTAATCAAGTGGGTGGTACGTGGATTTATACAGATAAAACTGGAATAGATGAAAATGGTTTACCAATACATTCTAGTATGTACAAACATCTAAAGTAAGTTTTACTTACGGTACATTGTTCTCAAACTTATATTATGAAGATGTAAACATGTTATCTAGCAATGGAAATTTTAAAACAATTTTATTTTTTCAAAAATAAAAAATTGTTATCAAAAGAATTAAACAATCAGAGTTTTAATGCCAAACTATTTTCAAATATGGTTTAATATAGGCTACCCATTTTACTATTCACCCTTTGTCTTGAAAGTGGCATGATACACTTATCCATGGATTATTATTTCTACTATATGTTTGTAAATTTAGCAAGGATTTTAAATTAGTAGATGTAGGCTAGGAGTTTGGTCGTTAATATGATCAGTATTCCTTCTAAAAGATTTCAAATTTCAAATGTTACTTTTTTTCAGGACCAATCTTCCAAAAGAAGTTATGGCATTTCCAGACTTTCAATTTAATGCGAATCTTCCTTCATTTATTGGTCATGAAGAGGTTTTGAGATATTTAGAAAGTTATAGTAACTTTTATGGTTTATCATCATATATTAAGGTTAATTTCTTTCGACTTAGTTTGATTTTATTTTTTTACATATCATCAAAATTATCCCTTTTCTAAAGAGTGTCATGAGCATCTTAGTATAGCACTGTTCTTTGTCAAGTAATTTTTTGTTTTACAAGCATTAAAGATTTCTTTTCTAAATCTGATAGGACTTTAAATTTTTGTATCTAAACAGTTTGACCTTTAATTTTTGGTATAGATATTATTTTAAAAACACTTGTCCATTTAAAAATATCTTCTGTACAAGCAAATACTTATTATCCACATATATGTATAATTATAGTTTAAAACTTATGTTTTACGAGTAAATCCTATCAAAGACCTGAAAGATAAAACAAAGTGGGAAGTATCTTACACTAATACTACTGATAAAAAGGAAGAAAATAACCAAACTGAAATATTTGATGCTGTTATTGTTTGTAATGGGTAATGGATTGATTTTGTATAATTTAAATGAAATGTGAACTTTTAAACCTTTTTGCTCAATTCAATCCACAAAAATGGTGCCAAGTTGTGAAGTAACTCTACAAGAATTAAGAAGCGAGTTGAAAGGCATTGAAGGTATTAAGCTGTGGATTTGTTTTGTTGCTCATCAAGGTGTCAAATATTGATAAGCAATTTGTCCCTTTTTCAAGTTTTCTGTTTATAGCATTTTTAAAAAAGCAAAAATTTAATTTTCAGTCATTATTCTGATCCAATTTATCCTTCATTGCCTGGTATTGAAAAATTTAAAGGGGAAATAATCCATAGTCATAATTATCGTGATGAAGAATCTATGAGAGATAAAGTGGTAATGGTATTAGGTGCTGGTGCCTCTGGTCAAGATATAGCCATTGAAATTTCTTCAACAGCTAAAAATGTAAGTTTTAATTCACAGGACAATGAAGCACAATGTCTAAATTTCATTTCTACTCTTTATATATTTCTCTTTTTCTAATATAGCCTACAACATAATGAAAATATTAAATGGCTTATTCACTAAAAATTCATGTTCAAATAATTCTTGAAAGTAATTTGTAATATTTTATTCATCTTCTCTTGTTTATTTAAGGTTTATCTAAGTCACAATAAAGCTCCACTTACTTCTATTCTGCCAGCCAATGTTGAACAGAAATCAGGGATACAAGAAGTAAAAGACACAAGTGTAATATTCAAGAATGGTGAAATCTGTGATGCTGATGTACTTTTATTATGTACAGGCTATTATTTTACATTTCCATTTTTAACAGAAAAGTGTCATTTAAGTATAAATGATGAAAGAGTTACTCCCCTTTATAAACATGTAATACACACTGAACTACCTAGTTTGTCCTTTATTGGTATCTGTAAGACAATTTGTCCCTTTCCTCTTTTTAACAACCAAGTTCAGTTTGTCTTAGGTAGTTTAGATGGTACATTTTCCTTACCATCTGAGGAGGAAATGAATAAAGATACTCAAAATGATTTTGAGAAACGTTTATCAGAAGGTTTACCACCACGATATGCCCATCATATGGGACCTCGCCAATGGAATTATAATCAGCAGTTGGAAAATATTGCCAATCTCAAACCTATACCGAGAAGTGTACAAGTTCTTTATGACATGGTGCATAAAAAACGGGTTCAAAATCTACCAGGGTATAAAAAAGTTAACTATAAAATGGTTGGTCCGGAAGAATTTGAAACTATTGAACCTGTGTAAGAACATTATAAGTGTTTATTTTCTTTGTGATATGATATATTTTAAAACACAATTAATTTTTATGTGTCGTATGGTATTATGGTATATGATTTTATTTTCTTGACAAAATTTGGCATGTTGCTTGCACAATAATATCGGTTTTGAAACAGCAAGTTTATTTTGATAGTAATATTGAATCTTTAAAATACAATATTGAATAAAATATAAATAAAATGAAATAATAAATCATGAAGACAATTATAGTTTAATGAAGTAGATTTTGAAATCAGATGTTTTCATCAAACAGAAAGGTTTAGATTGGTTGACTAATGTTTTATCACAATCTCTAAAAAAAGCTGTTTTCAAATTTTTTTTAAAATATTGAAATCAAATGGTACCATATGGGCACAATGATATAATTAATAATATTGTACATATAGTTTTAAGTAAGGTTATTATTGTTATTTCTACAAATGAGAGTAAAATTTAAATTTGATAAATTGTAATTAGGACATTTAATTATAGTATTGTTATTGATTATATTGTTATAATAAAAACCAATGAAATAAGTCATTAATTGTTTATTTGTCAATGAGTTCATGAGCAAATTCGTTAGCAACTGACATGAACTGAAGAATCACAAAGTGGAAAATCATTGTATATCAAGGGCGGTTACCTATCTGTGTCAAATCAAAATATAGTTGATTTAATCACACACGAAGATCAAGTTCGAATTTGAGCTATTTTCGACAGTTAGAAGCAGAGTTATTGCCCTTGCCCCAAAATCTTGAATATGCTATTACTCTTAGTTTTCAACCGATTTTGATGAAACTTAAAATGGATGTTATTGGACCTTAATCAAAAGGTTTGAGAAAGTCTAGTTTACTTCTGATTAAATTTAAGGCTTTTTCAAGATTTAGGCCTCTTACGTCAGTTTTGAGGAGTTATCGCCTTTTAACCTGTATACAGTAAGTGCTTCTATCAACATCAATTGCTCGTAAACACTCTGTCCGTCCATCGGTCTGTCAACTTTTGCTTGTAAACGCTCTAAAAACTAGATTTTTTGATGGAATCAAATGAAATTTGGTATGTGTATACATATTCATGGAAATCTGTTAGAAGCAGTTATTGCCCTTGCCCCAAAATCTTGAATATGCTATTACTCTCTTAGTTTTCAACCGATTTTGATGAAACTTAAAATGGATGTTTTGTTTTTATCATCCGCATGCCGTGAAGGGCGTATATGGCTGTGGTCCACTATCTTTATTCTGGTGCTAAACCACTAACAAATACAATTTTGTTATATATAACACATTCAAGATGCTAGAAAAAATGATGAAATAGTACAACTCATTATCATCAATTGTTATTATTTTAAAATGAGTTACAATAATTCACTAGCCTACCCCTGACCTGCTAATCAAGAGGATAAGGTTTCATCGCAAAATAATTTACAGAGTAACAAGTATCAGATTTTTCATGATGGTCATTCATTATATTCATCAAATTATAGCAAAGGACTTGATAACATTGTCTAGTATCATCACTTAATATAGTATGTTTAGAAGTTAGAGTGATTGAATGGTAAGTTACTATACAATAGAAGGCAATGGCACAGGAGTAACTTGCCATCATATCTTCACTTTGCTATTGGTCACAAGGTTGCGATAATTTACAGTGTCAGATATGACACCATTATTGTCCACAGTTGCTTTTCTCTGGTAACATGTCATCTTTCTCAGATATGACATCATTATTGTCTGATATTTGTTTGCCTCTAACTGGTAACATGTCATCCTTCTCAGATATGACATCATTATTGTCTGATAGTTGTTTGTCTCTAACTGGTAACATGTCACCCCATAATAGAATTCTACTGCATCTATACAAATCTCTACAAAATCAGAATTGTAAAGTAAATCAAAAAGACATAGATGTAAACTGTATTTTAAGATCATGATAACAATGTAGATCTGATTATAAGGTTTAATAACCTTATATTTAATACTCTATCACCAGAGGTTAAGCCTACATGCCTTCACCTTTGCTTTCGCAACATAAAATTTGCGAATTTAAAAAAATATTCTATATTCTACTGGTAAACCTTTAAACTCTTCTTGTCTTACACTGTCTCTAGTTGTATAAAACAACCCTGGTACAACATATAAAATAGTCAACTTACTTTTCATGTTCTTGTGAACTAATAACTGCATGATGTAATTTACCATTTGAACAACATAAATGACAATGTGTACATGATTTCATTTTAAATGGCTCATCTACAATCCTTGGAAAAGATTCTGCAAGTAAAAAGTACATACAATTTCTATGAATATTTTTGAATAATTGAAAGAAAAGTATTGCATAAAGTCACAAGGATTGTTTTAATTATTTTCATAAATTTATTAGACATGTCTTGGAAACTGGAATTTTTATCTAAACTAATCAATAATATTGTTCATAGCTCACCATCGAAATTCAAAACAATTGCATTTGAAAGTTAAAAAGAATGACACACTATTTCTTGAGAACACACCATTATATAGAAGATACCTTGCCAGGTAATATACGCCCACTAGCAGCTTTGATTTTGAATAAAAATATTCAGCAGTACAGTAACAATCACCAGTATGAAATATTCAACCTTCAGACATACACTTCTTTTGAACTCTTTAGGGTGATACTGAATAATATTGAGTATGAGTTTTTGCCTTGTTCTTGAAAATGTGTTCAATTTTTAGCTCATGAAAACTCTAGAAGACTGAATAAAAAAACAAGTTTTGTCAAAATCCAGCAAGAATCAAGCCTTTTAGTGTTTACAGGGTTCATACAGCACTTTGCCTCAAAAATTCAAAGACTTTTCAAGGACTCTGGGCTTTGAAATTAAAGGACTTTTCAAGGATATTAGTCTGACAGAATACACATGTACCTTACTTCTGAACTGTGAAATCAATAAAGATAGTTAATATTTGTGAATGGGGTTAATGATAAAAATATACACAATACACAACTCAAAATTCAAGGACTTTTCAAGAGAAAATAGGTTTTTTATGGTGTTTTCAAAGACTTTTTTTGAAATCAAGGTTTTTCAAGGCAACCCTGGTTTAAGAGCTAAATTTGAAAGCGTTTTCAAGAACAAGGGCAATAACTCATACTAAATATTTTCAATAGGGTTCATCCTTGGGTGATTATGAACACTCATGCAAAGTTTCGTTAAAATCCATCAAGAATTGTTACTTCTAGAGTGTTTACGAGCTAAAAATTGAATGTGTTTTCAAGAACAAGGGCAATAACTTATACTAAATATTTTTCTTCTGATTTCAATAGGGTTCATCCTTGGGTGATTACGAACACTCATACGAGCAATTGTGGACGGACAGACGGATGGAAATTTACGCCCCCCATTTTATGTGGGCGTATAAAAAATGATTTATATTGTAACATTATAATGCATCATAATGAGTAATTTTTGTTATATGAAGTTCATTGCTTGAAACTGGTAAAAGATAGCTTGCCAGGCAAGGTAACATAAGCCCACTGGCAGCTGTCAGAAATGATTAAACAGTCTTCAGTGACTACAGGGTTGCACAATATAGCTAATAGAGTGAAACGTCAAGTCAGACACGATATTTCGGTGAAATATTATCCGATCATCGCAAAAATCGATAGGGATCATCTTCATAATGACATTGACATACAAAATAAAAATCAAAAGAATCTGTAAACAATTGTAGCCTGTAGAGTGAGCACGAGTTGCACAATATAGCTAATAGAGTAAAACGTCAGGTCAGACACGATATTTCGGTGAAAAATTATCCGATCATCATGAAAATCGATAGATCATCATGAAAATCAATAAGGATCATCTTCGTAACGACATAGACATACAAAATAAAAATCAAAAGAATCTGTAAAAAATTGTAGCCTGTAGAGTGAGCACGAGTTGCACAATATAGCTAATAGAGAAAAACGTCAAGTCAGACACGATATTTCGGTGAAAAATTATCCGATCATCATGAAAATCAATAGAGATTATCTTCATAATGACATTGACACACAATATAAAAATCAAAAGAATCTGTAAAAAATTGTATCCTGTAGAGTGAGCACGAGTTGCACAATATAGCTAATAGAGAAAAACGTCAAGTCAGACACGATATTTCGGTTAAAAATTATCCGATCATCACGAAAATCAATCTTCATAACAACATTGACATACAAAATAAAAATCAAAAGAATCCATAAAGAACTGTAGCCTGTAGAGTGAGCACAAGCCAAATGTGAACGGACGGACGGACGGACCGACGGGGTGATTACAATATACGCCCATCTTACATGTGGGCGTATAAAAAAGGTTCTAATTTCATAATTTTCTCAACATACACTTATTTTTTTTAACTCTATATCATCTGTGGTTAGATTGACAAACTACTGGTAGGTGACTTATCAGTAACCTTCAGTTGCTTTCAAGTTTGCTCCTTTTAAAATTTTTCTTTACAAAATAACTAACCTGTGTTAGGTTTAGGACCAACTCTAAAAATAATATAACTAAAATATTCTGTCTCTAGCCCTTCCTGTAATTTATAAATATTGATTAAAACAGTCAAATGTTTTTCTGTCCATGCTCAAATTTAGGAGTAGGCTACATTAGATAATGGAAACAGATTTTATTCAAGATTAAGATCAATCTGAAGATTCTTATTTTCAATCTTCCTGTATCCTAAATTTTCCTTAACATTGAAGAAAATTCTGACTTCACCGACAGTGCTTCAGAAATCGACCATGGGTGTCAGCTTTGACCAAATATACAAATTACTTACAGGTTCCATCTGGTCAAGATCAGTATATCTGGCTTCAAAAAAACAAGGAGAGTTTTTTTCTTTTAATTTAGGACAAGGCTCATGGTGAGGACACTATAAATATAACATTTGTTGATTTTGTTAAATACTGTTAATATCATGAAAACAAAGCCACTTCAAGCAAATATTGATAGAGATATTTAATCATGCCAAGTAACATACACCATTTTGTAGGCTTAAATGCAAGCTTTATCCCTCTTATTTCGGATATTCTATTTCTATAAGGCTCTTTGTGTTTGCCTACCAGTGAAAACAATAATATGAGCGAAGGCATTAGGAATAACTGACATATAATACAGACATACCTTATATGATTCTGTTCTATTCAAGCAAATAATTAGCCATTTCTTTTCATTATATAACAATATATTTTAGAATATAATTAGGTACTTACGGGAGAAAATATATGGCCTTTCTTTGATTGTTTTGATAACTTTAATAAATGCTGTCTTGTTTCATGTATCAATGCAAACCCTGAATAGCTGCCTTTTTCTACAATAACCTGTCAAATATATGATATATCTCAAACAAAATGAAATTCTTGAGTCAGAAAAATCATCCTCTGCTTGCCTTTAACATGCCCAAATTTATCTGTCCAACTTCATTTTTTGATCAATACATACTAAGAGCATAAGGGTTATTAAAACTGGGTTAATATACCTAGAACAAAAAGATAAGCGCCACCAGATTTTGAACCATTGTTTCACAAATGAATGCAATTGACAATCATACTTGATAACAGAGATGTATATATTGGGACCTAATGTTGAAAACAATATTTATTTGTGAAAAAATCAACAACAGGAAGTGGATGAATGTAAATTATATTGTCTTTATAGCCCAAAATGCAAAGTATCTGTTTTTCATCAGTCTTTGAATGTCCTGTTGAGGAATTTGCTGCCTCTCCTTCTATTTTCAACCATAGATCACAATGGTAAATATCAAGGTGGTAAATATTTAAGAATCAAATTCAAATCTGATAATAATAAAAACTAAAATACCAAATAATTTTCAGTCCTATTCCATAATGATTCTATCAACTTTGCTCTTTCTTGTTCACTTTTAATCTCCATTAAAGTATATGTAGAAATAACTAGATCAAACTTGAAATACAAAAAAAAATGTTTTATAGCTTCAAAGTAATATTTCTGGTAAGAATATCGAAGGCAATGCAGTTTTAATCATTATGAAGACCATGCCCTCAAAATAAAAAGGAGCATGGTACTTTTTTTCCAAGTTTCTTAAAGGGGACAAATTTCTATCCATGAAAATGATTTTTTGATACAAGAGGGGTTGCCTTCACTCTTACATAATTCAGGAATTTCTTGCATGTTTTCATAATTACAAACTAAAATGTTAAAATGGCTGTGTGCAAATGTGTTGTTTGGTATTTATTATCTTGGTCCTTAATAAAAGGTTTATCTGCTCAAGGGAAACTCAGTAGAAATATGTGATAGTTTTAAATGTTGAAGAAGAATGCAAATCAATGTAAAATGTTATCATTTTCTCAAAAGTTCATAAAATTAACTCCCAATAATTACACAATATAAATTATTCATTTTGACGAGTAATTCTTTTTAATATTACCTTATAATCAGCTGGCAGTTTGTTTCTAAATACAACAGGTACCTTCATATATCCATCTTCTTTTCCATCTGAAAAATCAATGACATGTCAATACTTATTACTGGCAAATACTGGGATACAAAATGATTTTAAAATTCATTAAAGGGACAGGTTCACAATTTTCAGGGTTGATTCAAGTAATTATTTCAAAAATATCTCAAACTAGGAATTTCACTTCCTATTTCTATATATGGCTGAGCCTCGAGAATAGATTACCATCATTTAAACTTTCAAATATGGATAATTCTTGACATACATTGATTTGAATTCTCAAATTTTGACTGTGAGCTGTGAACACTATTAATGATTGGCTTAACTATAAAATTCCTGTTTTTGAGATTAAGGTATAATGGGCCCTTTAACCATTTTCATTAACCAGACACATAGCCAAAGATATCTAACTTATTACCTTGTAACAGAAGTCTGGCTACAGTATTCATATCACTAGAATAATCCACACAATAAAATTCTGTTATTCTTTTCCATAACTTAGTACTTGCCCTATCAAAATAGATGTTCAATATTCATATGTCACAAGGCACCACTTTTCAGAACAATTTAATCTTAAAGTATCTATATTTTGTTCAACTTACACATGATGATAAACATATCAAGTTTTAAGAACATCCTTATGTCAATAACTCAAGAAAATCCAACAAAGGCATGCAACTAGTCACTATTCAACAGAAGGCACAGGGTTAAAGTTGTGTTTTCATGTTAAGATAAAATGAATTAAAATCAAAGAAAATTGTAGTAAGCCATTCTCGAATTATTAGATCATGGTGTTTGATTACCATCTAGAATTGTGTTGTTGTATGTTTCAATCATACAGGTCATGTGCTATGGCCAACAAGACAAGAGAGTAGTTTTGTAAACAATACTTACCAAACAGATGTTCCTAATCCTGAACCAAAATCAAGCATTGAATGTGGTTGGAAGTCTTCATCTCTTAAATTTATCTTTTAAATGAAGGTAAAGACATAGTTTTACTCAAATTGTTCAAAGAGACAGCTGCACTATATTGGGGGCTGATTTGAGTCTTGAATAAACAGTGGTGAACCTAAAGTCATGCATATAAGGATTCAACATCAAATTTCATCAAAATTAAAAAAATAATTAAAATTGGTTTGTTTCAATTTCTTTTATGAATCCACAACCTTGACCCATATTTCATGAGTAACCAACTTGACAATGGCTACCAAATGTGTCACCTATTTTCGTATACAATGATTGATCTATAAATAAGTTGAGAAAAACACTTTGTATGGAAACCCAGTGATATAATTATCTTCTCTTAGTATTTTTAACTAATGACAATTCGTTCAAAGAACAATGATTTAAAAAAAAAATTAGTGACAAAATAAGGCAAGTAAAAAGTGAAAGGTAATTTATTGCTTAAATTCATTGAAACAACATAAGAATATGGTCCACATTTTCTGCTGACAAGAAGTTTGTCATGTGACTTGGTTCACTGGAAATATCTTCTAGTGTATGACACTTGGAATTCCGATTACAGCTTGGAATTATAAAGGAAAGGAAATTTGGCCGATAAAAACATTGTGATATTTGGTATTAACCGATATCCGGCATTTTGTATGTGTTAGAAATAAAAAATAAATTTGACGTTTCTTTGAATAAACAAGAAAATTCTGCTAGTTGACATTGTACAGACAACCCATATATTTCAAAACAAGCAAATGCAGAGGTCGTGCAAGGTCGCACATGTGAATTATTAATTATTTCCGAAGATGCACGAAATTAGTTTATTTGACTTGATGTATATATAATAGTCTTCAGAAGTAAGAAAGAGGTTACAAAAATCGCATAATTCCTTCAAAAATATCTCAAATAAGAATTTTCTTTTTTCTACAAATGGTAGTGTCTCAACTTTCAAACAGACAATTCATGGAAATGAAGGCTCAAATTTAGACAGTGAGTTGTGTACACCACTGATTGGCTTGGTTAAAAAAGTTTTGATTCTGAGACTAAGGTATGAGACTCATGCAACTGTCCCTTTAATGAATAATAATCAATGAGTGTTATATACTTTATATAATGAAATATCAATAATTCTAAAAGAAAGATTAAAGAGAAAGTTGCATTTTTAAATTCTGGGCTGTGTTCTGGGTTTTTTGTTCATACAATCATGGTAATTTTTGCATATGAACCAGATAACATTTTTAACAAGGAAACAATGACAAGCAAAAAAGAGGTTCAGCTATCTACTGCCTAAATCAGCATCAAATAATACATCAATAAAAGACTTACTTCTCTGAGACAAGAGTGAATAGATGAATAATCACCACATAATCTGGCTGCTAAATACTGAATAACTTTTGGTCCACTATACCTGAAATATTTTTATTGCAATCTATATTTTACTGAAATACCAGAAAAAAGAACATAACATGCACCATTTACCTATTTAAAAAACAAGACACTTTTCTGAGTTGTTAACTGACGATTACATAGTATGTAAGTCAAAATAAACAGTCTTTTTTACAGGCCCCGCACGCTCCAAATCTATTGATTGACATTTTGAAGTAGTTAATAAATAAGGACTCACTCCACTAAAACATTTTATGCAAATGATTGTATAGGAATGTAGTCCAGGCTATTTTTAGAAATCTTCTTTCTCTCTCCTTTTTGGAATGTAGTCCAGGCTATTTTTAGAAATCTTCTTTCTCTCTCCTTTTTGGGGTTTTTGCCTGCCTATTTTTGGGTAAAATTTGGTCTAGATTTGGAATTTGATGTCTGAAATTGCATTATCTTTCAGATTTGGTGAGATGATGAGAGACTTAAAGGCGGAAGGCTAATTCTAAAAATAGTCGTTTTGTGAAGTGCCAAAGTCTAGCGAATGAGTATAACCGGTAGGAGTCTACTTTCAATTTTAGTAGCTCAAAATTTTCATGGTCATCATATAATGAATTTTTTAGGAGACATTGAGAATTGGTCAGGCTTTCATTTGACATATTGGAAAGCTTTCAACGAGATTTCTGGAAAAAGTTATAGAAGGTTGAATTTCGTGTTTTAACATGGGAAGAGATGGCAAATGAATTAGTGGAGTGAGACCTGTCTGGTAAGGTCATTTATTTTTTAAAATTGATATTTTTCAAAAAGTAGGGTTAGGGTTAGTTTAATGCTGGCTTTGACACTTCTGTTGCCAGATTTTAAAGTTGTAGTATAAAAGAGAACACGTTATTAAGAAAAAGACTGATTTTTCTTTTCTTTTTTCATTTCAAGGCAAATTATACATTTAAATATCATTTCGAATGTGAATAAGAATGATCATCTTCCAACTGCTGCAAAGCACTAGGTAAAATTTTGTCTAATTGTCCTTTTCTGTACCCACTGTCAGTTGAATTGAATTTTTTATATTTTGCAAATTCATGGATATTTCTTCCTCGAGCGAGAAGCTTTCTTCTCTTAACTTCTAGTCTTGTTTCATAATCTCTATGGAACACTGATTTCTTCTGAATACTGCTTAGTGCTTATAAACTCTTAGGGGACAATTTTGCCCCTAAAAACTCTGCTTTTGTCTGTGTTGCCTCCTTTATCCCAATATTTGATCGAAGAATAGTCGATGATAGCCGCCCAATAGAATTTCTTCCATATTTGACACTCTTTGGAAGCGAAATGTTTATGGATCGATTTATTGACTCACGTTTTTGAGTGTCAGTCTTATAACGGGTTTTGTCAATGGCTTCTTCACTTAATCTTATTTTCAAAAGTTCATTTAACAGAAACTTATCATTGTCATTCATTTCCAGGCTCGTTAAGTTGTTTGAAGCCAGAAACATGGATCAATTCCACCAGTTGTTGCTGTGACCGCCACTACAGACCACAGAGTTGGAACGGCACTTGGAACAGTCTCCATCGTAGCACATAACAGTTGCTTGTAGTATTTTCGGTAGCTGTTTTTTCAGTTTGTCCACATCTCCGCAGTAAGTAGAGTACATCTCTTTGATCATAAGGCTACACCTAGATTTTATGTCCTGACTCAAAGTTTTCTTTTGATTTGTTTTTTCAACTTTTGTTTTGCCTCTGAACATTCCGTCGCTAAAATAAGCCTTAAAACATTGGCGAAACTGAGATGCACTAAGATGGGCTGGGTCAGCTAGTCTTTCAACTTTCCACATAGGATGTAAAGTTCTCATTGCCTCTTCAATTCCGGTAGCTGACGTTGAATCTCCGTCTGTTGTGGCAAACTTGATAAGCACCCCTTGAATAGATAAATCTTCACCAATTATTCTCCCCATTTCTCTCTCAGATAAAGGTGCATGTCTTGTCAGATTTGCTGTGCATCCCTCGTGTCCTGGACAGTTGACAGTAATGCCTGTGTTTCTTAGCCACGCTCCAGTCCAACAAAGTTTATTTTGCATACAGCACTTATGATATATTTCTTATCTGTGTTTGTCTCACAAGCAATGCCGATTGATTGGGATGCTCCTTGTCCGGGTTTCTTGCTGTGTCCTATGGTCAGACAATTGTACCGGCCATCCAAAGCCACATTTATCACGTTAGGGTTGGAAGCACCTCTTCGTCTATTGACATTTTTCACCTCTTCCACCTTAGTTCTCATGCTTTCATTGTTCAAGTCAGTTGTCTTTGAACTCACATAACTGGATAACTTGGACATACCACTTTCAGCTGGTGGGGTAATGTCTAAATCTGCTAGTAGAAGCCTAGTCCTTGAATTGCCTAAAGGCATGTCTAGCAATCCAGCTTGTAAGTTAATGTTTACTGCAGCCGCTTTCCTACCTCTTTTGCCAGTCGTGATTTCCCTGTATAATTTTACCACAGGAGAGATGTATCCACAATTGAGGCATTTCAGTGAATATTTCCATCCAATTCCCCATTTTTCTTCTGTGTTGATCTTAAATTGTGGTACTGCACACACCTCGGCCTCTTCGTCTGCATGAGTCTGAATGGCTATATTCCACATTTCTACCATTTTTTCCACATTGATTATCCTGTTGCCTGAGATTTCATTTTGATCAAAACTGCTTTCTTTTTTTTCAGGCCTTGGTCGTAAAACCCTGTGACTACCTGGAGAGTCTAGTTCAATATTCACATAGCTCAATTCTTGGTCTTCATACACTGCAGAGGTAGATGGAAGATCATAGTCGTACTCAGTTTGTGTCACCTCACTAACTTTCTTTACATAACCAGGTAAAAAATGTGAACTTTTTCGTTTTCCTGTCGCCTTTCATATTGAGAGTTTTGAATGGAAATGAGTAAATTTCTCATTTTTGCTAAATATATATTATTTTGAGACTTGAGGAGGTGAAAATATCAGCAGAATGATATATTGAAGACAGAATGAATAGACAGAGAAATCATTTATTTGTATTTACTATGTGGACTGATTTTGGTTTCTGGGGTTTAGGGATCATAAACCTTAATGAGTTATGTAATGATTGTAACTTTAACACACTACCTAATGGATATATGGTCTTTTAAGATTCATTCTTAAAAACATTTGGTTCCATGTTATTTCTATTTCTGCAATTGTCATTAATTTAAGAAGTACTGTGGTTTTTGAAGTAGAAACAGGCTGAATTATGTGCGAAGTAAATGTGACGTAATAAATTTGACCCTTATTCTGTGTAATTTTTGTTTTTCAGGCTTGGTTTTGGTCAACATTCCTTAATCTTTTTACAGAATTGAATTATCTTCATAAATAAAAAAGTTCTGACCAATTCAGAATTGTACGTATACAAGCTTATACAGTGCATATATAGCTTATTATAGGAAAGAGGGGGCAAAAGTAAAAACACTACCACTGGTTTACTTTTAGGTTTATTTGCATAATTTTGGGTCAGGTTGTTCCACAGATGTTATAGAACAAATTAAAGCAAGAAAAAAAAATTAGCTACATATATAGGACTCACTTCACATTTTATGCAAATGATTGTATAGGAATGTAGTCCAGGCTATTTTTAGAAATCTTCTTTCTCTCTCCCTTTTGGGGTTTTTGCCTGCCTATTTTTGGGTAAAATTTGGTCTAGATTTGGAATTTGATGTCTGAAATTGCATTATCTTTCAGATTTGGTGAGATGATGAGAGACTTAAAGGCTGAAGGCTAATTCTAAAAATAGTCGTTTTGTGAAGTGCCAAACTCTAGCGGATGAGTATAACCGGTAGTAGTCTACTTTCAATTTTAGTAGCTCAAAATTTTCATGGTCATCATATAATGAATTTTTTAGGAGACATTGAGAATTGGTCAGGCTTTCATTCGACATATTGGAAAGCTTTCAACGAGATTTCTGGAAAAAGTTATAGAAGGTTGAATTTCGTGTTTTAACATGGGAAGAGATGGCAAATGAATTATGATAATGTGTGTGCGTGTAAAATAGAGTTATTTCCCCTTCCCCTTGAATATTTTAATAGTTATTTCCCTTGAGTTATTTTCGTACAACCGAAAGTGGTTTAATAATTCTCATCAAATTTTAAAATCACCGCTAAAAGCCATGGTTCTTTTTATATCACTTATAAGTCAGGTTGATTTTGACCATTAACCATTGGAAGATACATTAGTTTGCTGAAGGAATGAAGGAAGCACAATTAAACAAATTGTTGACACATTTTATGTTGACAATCAAAACATTAATCTTGATAGTCATTCCGGTTCTGCATACCTTGGACCGAAACAAGACAGTCTACAAGAATGTACCCTAAGTGCATCATTGTCAGAAGCGGTAAATATTCGCGCCTCTTGACGAAAGTGTGACCTGTTCACCTCTCATCTCAATATCAGACCAATATCAAACCAAACAAATGACGTTATTCTTATATATAACTCCGCTGGTTGACCTTTTCTAGTTCGACGAGGTCAACTTTCTGTAAACAATCTGATTGACAAAACGAAGTGTTCAATTCAGCTGGAATCGAAAGATCATGCAAAAGTTATTCTATTTTGGAAAAAATGTGTTGGACAAGAGCCGTATCTTTTGCAAAGAATGTATTTATCTGGAGCGCGGGGAAAAAGAAGTGCAGAATGATGTATTTGCAGGTAAGAAAATGAAAGTTGATTTTTCACACAACATTGGTTTGTTGACATTTTTGGTTTGGTCGCTCGTTGGGAATTTTTATTGGAAAAACTGGAATACTTCTAGCTTTTGATTAATTGTAAAACTAATACGCAGTTTTAAATAGATTGTTTATCAAAAAGTTCACATATAGGGCCTATAGACAAAAGTAAGGTCAATATCGTTGTATTAGGCTTACTCAAAATTGTGGTGTCTTTGTTATGCCAACTTTGTTTTAATGACATATTCTATTTAAAAAATTATTACGATTTACCCGAGTGTTTGAAGGGTTGCTCCTTATATGGTTTTTAAATACATGTGGGCTATAGGTAGAGCTACTACCTGTTATGAAAATAACAATTCATGTAATAAAGAAAGGTTTTATCAAGAATATATCTAGGCAACCACTCACAACTTTGAGTTTGATTGTAAATTCTTAATTCATGTAGGCCTACATAAAAAATTCACCGTTATGGAGCTGTTGTACATTTATTGAAAAATAATACATTTACAACTGCCACAGAAAGTGTAAAACTTCAAAGCAATTTTGTCCCATAGAACAGTTTGCAATAGAAATATAACAAGTGGTTGCCTAGCAAGATACGCCCACTTTCCTCATACATTTGCAGTATGTCAAGGGCAGTCACCTATCTGTGGCAAATCACACCAAAAATCTAATTTGTGCAAGATATTGTTGATTTAAACAAAGACACATTATTCAATAACATTCTGACATAAACTGTCACCTCTATCGCCAACAAATTTTGATGAGTTTTTACTAAAATCTGTTGATCAAAAAATTGTCAAATTCAATCTTGACTAAGATCCCATCATTATAAATGATCAAACCAAATTTCACTTAAATCGGATGAAAACTGTACTCTCTATTGTGTTCACAAACAAATTTTGACAAGTTTTTCATAAATCAAGGGCAATAACTCAAAAACCTTTCAATGAAATATAGCCCACTTCAGACTTGACCAAGATCTCATCATAATTAATATTCACACCAAATTTCAGTTAAATTGGATGAAAACTGTAGTCTCTATTGTGTCCTCAAACAAATTTTGACCTGTTTTTCAGTCAAGGGCAAGAACTCAAAAACCGTTCATCTAAAAACCATGAATATCGAACTTATTCAAGATCTCATCAATATAAATGATCACACCAGATTTCATTCGAATGAGATGAAAACTGTAGTCTCCATCACATTCACAAGCCAATTGTGGACAGACGGACGGACATGGGTGATGACAATATACGTCCACATTATAATGTGGGCGTATAAAAAAAAATTTGTGGAGTATTCTGTATATCTTATATTAATATTTTGATTATTACATAAACTTTATTTATTACCCATTTTCTTCAGGTTTGGTTCAGAACCTTATTTATATGAGAAAACATTCAAGTTTGATGAAAGCAAATTGTTACTGGTAAAGAAAATTATATCTTTGTTAAACTCCTAATGGAGAAGTATATGTCAAATTACAGAAGTTAAATATAGAGATGGTAGTTCTGTACACATTATATAAAACATAATTCCTGTCTGGACCACGAATTACAGATATTTTGTAAAACACGTATATCCTACTTGAATTGTTTAGTTCAAGTGGTATCTAGTCATCATTGATTCCAGAGAAGCAATCGTCTCCCAGATTTTCATTTTTCATTAAGGTCTTATTTGATGCATAATGGTGTAAGTTTGTTTGTTAGGGCAGTGGCTATCAAGTCGTGAATGTGCTCATCCTTGTTTTGGCCCCATCCCCTGTTGACAGCCCTTTTCAAATTAGAAAATCTGATAATTCCACCCACCCCTTCCCTTCCTCCGAATTTCCATTAAAGTCTAAGTCTGACCATTTATTTTCTCTAAATAACACCAACCAAGTTGAGAAAGAAAAAGGATCTTATGTCAATCTTCAGATTTTTTCATTCACTGATTACTTTGGTCGTGTGAATGTCTCAAATTGGAAACCGACAGATTCAGAACATGATTGATGTATGTTTGATGTATCAAGACTATTCTAGACTGGTAAATGTGAAATATAACCATATATTTCATATCTGCAACTGAATGTGTGTTAATTGAAAGTATTTGAAATATCTCCCTTTACAAGTTTAGCATTTTTGAATGTTGAGTGTATTTTTGTTGTTACCTTTGACTAACAGTTTTTTTTAACTGATTTATAACATTTGGGGAGACTGCACCATATATTCAACAAATCCTGAATGTTTCATGCCTCATAGAGTCTCAAAATATATTTCATAGCTCATTAAAGTTCTAGATTCGTATAAAAATCAAATCAAAATGCGCATATTTAAAAGCTGAAATATGGAGTTTAGTGGATTTTTAGTTAGCTATAACATATAGGAATGGATTTCAGGTGAGAAAAAGTAATCTCCAGGTTGTGCTACAGAAAGTGGTTTTAAGAGGCACAGTCCATGGCCTAATACATATTTCTTTGAGTCAATTTCATTCCCGTTTGAAAGTTTAAATTTCTTGAGACTCTGTCATATATAGAAAAGACTCATATGGAAATTCAAAGTGAAATTCATAGATTAGAGTATTTTTGAAGCAACTGTGCGATTTTCGTACATGTTTAGTAATTATATATTCAAGACCCAAATCAACCTCTGAAAATGGCGAACATGTCCCTTTAACTGAACTTATAAAACCAATATCACAAATTGATACGAAAGTTAGATAACTGCACACAAGATTTTACAACTTCATTCTGTATGAATAAACAAAGATAGCTTGCGTTGCAAGGTAACATACGCCCACTGGCAGCTGTCAGAAATGATAAAACAGTTTTTAGTGACTAACGTACGAATTTTCTCATATTGAAGAAATTATTTATGCTGAATAATTCCACAAAATTTTTTAAAATCAATACCAATAACCCAAATACAACAAACAATT